CACTCACCAGTGCTGATTCGGCATCGTGACTTGTTTTGGCACTCAATGATGAACTGTTCTGTCACTCTGACAGCGGCGCTTGTGGTGCGGCTTCATGTTAGCCGCACAGACAGCGGCGCTTTCTGCACTCAGACTACGCGCGCATCTGCTGTGCTGATAAAGACAGCGCATGTGGTTCAAGCGTCATTACACTTGTTAAACGAGAAGAGTCAGAGAGCGATAGAAGCTTCTAACATTCACTCTCTTTGAGAGCGAGAGCGAGAGAGCGAGGAAAACAAACAAACATGCAAATAGAATTTATTGCGGCCAGAAAAGTTATCGAACTCCTTAAAAGTTATCATACGATTAAGTGATTTATTGATTATCGTTACAGCTTTGATAGACAGCTCTGTAAACTTGCATGCACAGGTTCTCACAGTCCATATCTTTCTCATTTTTGCAATAGAACATTTTGATCAAGGTTCAGTTTATCTGTCACAAATAGAACTGCTTCACAATTACTTCTACCAATACTCGACTACACAGACATCATTTATCAGAACACCTCAGCATCTAACCTTTGATTGTTAGATGTAATTTATAATAGAATATGTAGGTTTGTATTAAGACGTCCCTATAGAACTCACCACTGTCAGATGGATTCATCACTCTGCTGACTCTCTCTAACATCCACAGCACAGCTACACTTTTTACTATTTGTGTTTAAATGTTGTTACTCAAAGTTCCCACCCTACTTAAAAGAGTTTTTGATTCCATTCAGATCATTTACACTGAATTCATACTGAACAACTATTTTTTAATGTTCCTATAATAAAAAAAAGAAATTGGCCGCAGAGGATTTAACTTTAAAGCCCCAAATGAATGGAACAACTTCTCCTCAATCTGATCAATGACATCGATCCATTTTAAGGCGTCAGTCTTCAGACACTTACAAACATCCTGCTCCTGTTTTCCATGAAAATACATTTTTGTTCTATGTACTTTCTGTTGTACATAGAGTTGCTTTTTTTCTTCACTGATTTACAAATATAAGTGTGATGATGATGATGATGATGATGATGATGACTATATACCATATACTATATACTATATACCATATACTATATACTATATACCATATACTATATACTATATACCATATACTATATACCATATACTATATACCATATACTATATACTATATACCATATACCATATACTATATACTATATATATACTATATACCATATACTATATACCATATACTATATACCATATACCATATACTATATACTATATACTATATACCATATACTATATACCATATACTATATACCATATACTATATATTATATACGACCTCCAGCTCTTGAGCTATAGTCTTAGCTGGAGGATTTGACCCATGACACAGGCAGAACATGCAAACACCATATAGACAGCAGTTCTAGTTTCTTATATGAAGTGGGAAAAGCATTGAGTTTACTACAAAAGATAATATTATTTAATTATTATTATTAAAGGTCTGGGAGTCCCTGCTTAGACTGCTGCCTCCGCGACCCGGCTCCGGATAAGCGGAAGAAAATGGAATATTATTCATATTATTTACGGGCCCCATATTGCACAAAACAGACTCTTGTGAGCTTTAAGTCAAGTTCTAATGTTGTTCTCTCCTCCAAAATAGACCTGGACTTGTGTTCAGTTTCATTCACACTTTGAGTTTGAGTAACTCTTTATTACTACATCTCCAAAGCTCAAAATGCTCTGTTCCATTTTGTGATGTCATGTAGTGGTATTTTTCAAGTGAACCACTCCTTTTACCTTTAGTTCAGTAGAGATTTGTTATTCCAGGGCTGAAATGATCAAAATGTTTCTGGTGGTGGATGGGGTTGTTTTTCATTTGAGAGAGGCTAAATATGCAGAGTTTGTGTGTTAAACATGTGTGAAAGAAAACAAATACATACAAATCACATAACAGATCAGAAAATAGTGTAAAATGGGCCCTTTAAAACTGTTCTCACATTTAGGTAAAAACAATTGAAGGACACAATCACAAAAGCTCCTTCTACTTCTCCCCTGCACCCTCCCCGCTCACAGGAGGAAACATTTTGTCTTGACAAAAGAACAGAGCACTTGAAGCTCTGGCCTAAGATGGAACCTAAGGCGACGTAGACTTGTCATATGGAGTCACCCTTTTAACTTTTCCATTATTATGAGAAAGTATTGAGTGAGTATTAAACAGAGCTAGACTCTTCTCCTGTGCATATACACACGAGACAGAACACACTCTCAGAGCCATGTGAAGTGACTGTTACTTCAACACAATACAAACAAATACTGTAGTAATTTACCAAAATGATACTGACATGAGAAGGATTATCTTCTGGTTAATGAAACCTTGTGATATTGTTGGTGAGTGCGCACGTGCACACACGTGCACGTACACACACCTGGAGAAAAAGTGTCACTCATTTGGGGTTGAGGAAATTGTCAACCCTAGTTCATGTTAAAATGTGAAACTGATGCTGTTGTTGTTATGACCTGTAAAAAAAACCCCAGCAATTTAAGTTCATACGATTTGATAAAATATTGACTCCACATTCATTCACATCATCTACATTTGAGTAGGAACCTGTGTTCAGAGACAGAGTTTAGACTATGGGCCCAGCTGATCACTAAAGGAGATCTGTGCTCCAGATCGTACACACTAGTGCAGAGGAGGTACACAGTAGTGCAGGTCAGAGGTGGTGCAGGTCAGAGGAGGTACACACTAGTGCAGGTCAGAGGAGGTACACACTAGTGCAGGTCAGAGGAGGTACACACTAGTGCAGGTCAGAGGAGGTACACACTAGTGCAGGTCAGAGGAGGTACACAGTAGTGCAGGTCAGAGGAGGTACACAGTAGTGCAGGTCAGAGGAGGTACACACTAGTGCAGGTCAGAGGAGGTACACAGTAGTGCAGGTCAGAGGAGGTACACACTAGTGCAGGTCAGAGGAGGTACACAGTAGTGCAGGTCAGAGGAGGTACACAGTAGTGCAGGTCAGAGGAGGTACACACTAGTGCAGGTCAGAGGTGTGCAGGTCAGAGGAGGTACACAGTAGTGCAGGTCAGAGGAGGTACACAGTAGTGCAGGTCAGAGGAGGTACACAGTAGTGCAGGTCAGAGGAGGTACACACTAGTGCAGGTCAGAGGTGGTGCAGCACAGAGGAGGTACACAGTAGTGCAGGTCAGAGGAGGTACACACTAGTGCAGGTCAGAGGAGGTACACAGTAGTGCAGGTCAGAGGAGGTACACACTAGTGCAGGTCAGAGGAGGTACACAGTAGTGCAGGTCAGAGGGAGGGCTTTCATATGAGGAGTGATACACACACTGGTCACTTTAACACATAGTCAGTCCATTTGGATCCATTTATTTCAGCAGTGCTGGAGTGTGTCTAAGCTTTGGGTGGGGCAATAAAAGCAACACACTGAACAAAAGCAAACTGGCGTCAATCTACCATCTGTGTTTAACAAGGGAAAAACCTGCAATTTTGTCAACTCCATCAGTTGTCAGATTTCAGGGCTGAGGGAGTTGACTGATCACTGGTGGAGTTGACAAATCCACCTGTTGTCTCTAAATGTGCTAATAACATATTAGTGAACTTACAAATGGGTTAAAATACCATTTCACAGTAAGTTAGATATTATATATTTAAATACTGCGTCAGTAATATTATTTACAATGTTGAGTTAAATGTATGACAGAATTGATATGTCAGACTGACAGAGATGACAAAGTGACCAACTTAGTAACAAATTAAATGTTTAATGTGCTGCTTTCTGTAGCACTGAATAGATTTGAGCCATTTTCATCTTCTGAAATAGAACTGTCAGTTGACAGTTATTTTCTGAGCTTGCTGTAAACAATCATATGAGGGTCAAACCAAAATAAAATATAGAGAGGCAGAGAAGAGGGAGGTAGAAGGAAAGTAAGTTTTTTATTTATTTATTTGTTTATTTGTATATAGTGGTTTTCACAGACAAATGCCACAAAGATGCTTTTTGCTTTTGCAGATCATTATTCATTCACTCCGTACCCGGTGGTTGTGTGGCTGCCAGTCTGCTCTATCAGCTTCTCTACCAACACTCACACACACCACTTTTATACTGGGCAGTGTGGGTGACCCACTGTGGCACATGATTTTCCCAGCGGTCTTCCGTACTAATCAGCTTTGCTTAGCTTCTGAGATCTGCCGGGATCAGGCTTTGAGAAGCACCCATAAAGAGTGTCTGGAGAGTCAGAGAGAGGGTCGGGGGAGGAGGGAGCGTGGGCTTTCCTCTGCTATAGTGAGTTTGGAGGTTGGAAGAGAAATAATTGACAGTTTAATGAAGTCTGATCAGTGTTAAACCTGTAGCATCTGTTCTCATCTGGATTAAGAGAGATTTGTTCAGTTTTCAGTAGAGTTCACACATTTTGTCAACTCCATCAATTTTTAGTCAAGTCCATCAGGTCCATGCTTTGTGTTTCAGTTTATGTGGTTTAAGTGGTAAATGAGTGTGCATTATTTACAGAAATGTATTTTATAACATTTAAAATAGAAATGTTTCAGTTTTCATATATACTCTGCCAAAACTACAAACTACAAAACAAGATGGTGAGTTTGAAAACCTGGAGTGTCCAGCAGCAGCACAGTGTCCAGACTTAAACCCCATCGAGTTGGTTTGGGATGAACTGGACAGAAGACAGAAGTGCCACACATTTATGGAACTTCTGCAACAGACTTGGGAAGAACTTTCTCAAGAATATTTTATTTCTATTGTAAAAAGAACGAGCCACAAGTGTGTTCAGCTGTTCTATCTGACAAAGGTCGACACACACATCAATCAAAAGTTTAGAATATGTTTTGGTCAACAGTAAAAAGTAAAAAATGGAAAACGTGTGGTGTTCTAAAACTTTTGACTGTCAGTGTATATCAGAGTGTAAGGGTTAAAAAGAGTGTGTCTGAAAAAAGAATGTGAACTCCTCTTTGTGCTCTGTTTCTTCAGGAGGACAGTGTGGATGTGAAAGCTCTGCGGGCGCGCTTCACTGCCCCAGCCTCCTGTCACGACAGTGAGTCCCCCAAGTCAGGCCGACCCGTCCTGCTCATACCCTTTAACCCCATCACAGACACTAACCCGCCCCCTCTGCACAGACGGCCCCATACCACGCCCCCTTCTGCCCGAGAACCTTCCATAGCCACGCCCCCTTCTGCCCGAAAACCTTCCATAGCCACGCCCCCTTCTGCCCGAGGACCTGCCAGAACCACGCCCCCTTCTGCCAGAAACCACGCCCCCTTCTGCTCGAGAACCTTCCATAGCCACGCCCCCTTTTGCCCGAGAACCTTCCATAGCCACGCCCCCTTCTGCCCGAGGCCCTGCCAGAACCACGCCCCATTCTGCCCGAGGACCTTCCATAGCCACGCCCCCTTCTGCTCGAGGACCTTCCATAGCCACGCCCCCTTCTGCCCGAGGACCTTCCGTAGCCACGCCCCCTTCTGCACTTGGACACCCAAGAGCCACGCCCCCTGTGGCCTCAGGACCCAGGTCCCAGCTTGGGCCTCTTCAAGCTCCCTCTGCCCCTGTGGATTGTAACAAAGTACGTCAAACAGGAGAGCTTCTGCAGAGCATGATGCTGCGGCACCAGAGGCCCCCAGGACCCAGACTGTCCCCGGTGCCCTCCTTGTTCCCAACGCCCCTCTCTCCCTCTGCCCCTCACATCCGGGCCCCGTCCATGCCCTCTGTGGGCACCGCTGTCAGAGCCCTGCCCAGACCAAAGAGCACTGACGATGTGGCCCCCCTCAGGAAACCACTGCCTGCCATGGCCCCCAGACCCCCCAAACCCAAACGACCTCCTCAGGTGAACATAGAGCAATGGAAGTCCTCAAAAGGAGCCCCACCTAGAGGACTACCAGTGCCTACAGGTCCGCGGGGCACCTCAGGTCAGTGTGGTTGGATGTTGGCTGTTTGTGAACACTGGGCCGGAGGGAAGTAGAATGATTAGTCTACAGAGTACAAAAAGGAACGCTCGGAGAGTTCAGTAGTATGTGGATGGTATGATCAGAGTACTGAGTTTCTAACAGGACAGACTTATAGGTTTACAAGTCAACTTTTAAACTTCACGCAGAAAGCCCCCTCCAACAGAATTTCTTCTGATGCTCATTTAAATATTTCACAACAGTAGACTAGGAGCTGTCCTGACTTCCACATATCTGATACTTTGCTGTGGCATGGTTGGGGGTGTTCTACATTCCCAGTGCTAGGACTGCTGTGTGCTGCTGTGTGCTGTCTGCATTTTATTCTAGAATAAAATGGTTAGCTGGTTTGCTGTTTGCATGCTAGTTGTTGTTGGCATTACTGTGATGGTAAAACTCTGCTCTGGCCTGTGAAAAGTGCTCATAAACTCCTCTCCTCCTCAGGGTCTCCTCTCCCAGGGGTCCAACTTGTCTCCATCTCAGCTCCCACGGGGGCCCCCAGACTCCCACAGAGAGACAACAAACCAGGACGACTGCCCAGACAGTCCACCACTGTGTGAGTGTCCTCTGTGTGTCCTGTCCCTGTCTCTGCTCTGTTGATGTCTCTGTCTGTCTCTCTGTGGACACTGTGTCTCTGTCCTTTCTGTGTCCTGTCTCTGGCTCTCTTCGGACACTGTATCTGTGTCCTGTCTGTCTCTCTGGGGACACAGGGACATTCAAGTGTGTTCTGTCCACAGGGACATTGATGATGACCAGGAGCCATATGATGACATCGGGAGCCTGGAGATCAACGGTGAGAAACAGTTTGTACATTGATGATTTTTTCTCAAATGAAACCTTTTTCAGACAAAGTCAAAACATGTTCACGGAGACAAACGGGGGGCAGATGCTCCACACTCTTTTAAACAAACCTGGCTCACACCAGATTGACGTGTGTCACTCTGCCTTCTACATATGATCTGAACAACTCTCAGTGAAAGTGATCACACACTACCACACACTACCACTAATAATATTCTAATATCATGACAAATATTTGAATCTGATTGGTGGAAGTGTCACAACAGCAGAACAAGCTGAAGAATGAAACTTGAGTTGAGAGAAAATGACATCTTCCCAGTCCACAAATGCACAAAGCTCTTCCCTCTAGTCTGTACTGACACTAAGACAGACTGAAGTCCATTGGTCCACATCACCAAGTTTGCTTTAGTTTGTTCATACTTTGCTGCTCTGTGATTGGTCCACTTGCTGCTGTGAGAATTTGAACCTCACAGCAGGAGGCTCTCAAGGTGGATTCTCGTGAGTTTGTCCATCCATCCAGTTTCTTCCATGGCCGGGTCATGGCCGGGCAGCAGTCTAAGCAGACTCCCAGACTTCCTTCACCCTGGACCCTTCCACAAGCTCCTCTGGGAGGGTCCTGGCCCGAGGCGTTCCCAGGCCAGCTGAGAGACATAGTCCCTCCAGCATGTCCTGGGTCATCCCTGGGGCCTCCTTCTGCTGGGACACAGAACACCTCCCGAGGGAGGCGTCCAACAGGCATCCGGAACAGATGCCTGTGTCACCTCAGCTCCCTCTTCGCCACAACAGTCCAATACAGCGACGGCATCACTGCAGACGCTGCACTATCCACCTGTCAATCTCACACTCACTCATGAGCAAGACCCCGAGATACTTGAACTCCTTCATTTGAGACTCTCCAACCACAGAGGACAAGACACCTTTTTCCAGATCAGAACCATGACCTTGGACTTGGTGGAGCTGATTTTTATTCCAGCTGCTTCACACACGACTGCACTTGTGAGTTTGTGAACTCAAATATATGTTGAGAATCCATCTTGCTGTGCAAAGTAACATTTAAACATGCACTAATGCTCACTAGGGTTATGGTGAAGGAAGTGAAATATTCTTGATGAAGGACTATGAGCACTGTATTGTTGTGTGTGACCTTTTTGTTGTTTTGTGCTCTCCTCAGACTCCTGGAGCGACTCACAGAGCAAAGACGAGGTGAGACATACAAGAGGCAGTTCTGAAGACGAATCACAACGCCACAGTTACTTCAACACACACCGACTGCCCAACACACACCGACTGCCCAACACACACCAACTGCCCAACACACACCAACTGCCCAACACACACCAACTGTCCACTCGTGAACAATGTGCACAGTGGGAGTGTGTGGGGAGGGGGACTTAAAGATGCTGTACTGGTGTTTACTGTCTTTAAAACGTGAAAAACAAAAGTATTTGAGTTTGCAGTGGTCCAGCGTTATTCCTCACGAACCTTATACATTCTGGGCATGCAAATTATTATAATTAATGTGACAGAAACACAGTTTTACTGTTTTGCAAAACACATTGAGGTGAAAATAACATATTTCTACCTTGAAATTTCTCATTACCTTTATGTCATATCTTATATTAAGGATTTTACATTATGAATTAACCAAATAATCTTCCTGCTCCAAAAAATATAATGTTTTAATTTAAATAACACATTTCCTAACATTTACACTTGAGATCATTCAGGTTATGTATTTTATTTTGTGCATTAGTTTCCATTGTCTGACTTGACAACAGTTGCTGTATGTTTCTTGTCTCTCACAGAATGACGAGATCTACGAGGACATAGACGCGTGAGTGCACCTTCCACATACACACACACGCACATACACACACACGCACGCACACACACACAACACGCACATACACACACACGCACACACACACACACAGCACACACACACACACACACACACACACACACACACACACACGCACGCACACACACACACGCACATACACACACACGCACAGACACACACACGCACACACACACACACACACACACACACACACACACACACACACACACACACACACACACACACACACACACACGCACGCACACACACACACGCACAGACACACACACACACACACACACACACACACACACACACACACACACACACACACACACACACACACACACACACACACACACACACACACACACACGCACACACACACACACACACACACACACACACACACACACACACACACACACACACACACACACACACACACACACACACACACACACACACACACACACACACACACACACACACACACACACACACACACACACAGTGTATTCTGGACTGTCTGTCTTCTATAAGCGTCAGTGACTTTATAATCGCCTCTGACGCGGTGTTGCCTCTTTGAGCCCACACCACTTCCTTTGTTTGCTAGACACATTCAGAAGCATGCTGCAAAACAGATACAAAAGACAAACTTATTTTAGCAAGTATTAAAGACACAGTATGCAGCTTTTCTGGACGAGTGTGTGTGACCTGCTTGTCTCCATGAAGATGTTGTTACTTTGCCAAGAATATTCCAAGGTATAGCCTTAAAGCTGCTGTGAAAAACAGACCTAGTTTATTTGAAATGGTTTGCAGAGGTGAGTTTGAGTTTATAAGGCCTTCAAAACTTTCAGAAACTCAGCAACAACTAGCATGCTGACAGTGCTCTTCCTGATTCTTGGAGATAAAGTGCTTTATAGTTAGATACAAAGAGGAAACGGTGGACTTACTTTGACCTCGAGAGCTGTTTATATAATATATCTGTACTGGGACAAGACACATTTTGCTCCAACCACAGCTTGAGAGAGAAAATCATGTACTGCCTCTTTAACTGTCTCCATGGAGAAAAGCAGGTGACATCATAAAAACTAAGAAAAAAGTGATTGTATTTGTGTTCAAGGGGTTAGTGTGTAGAGTGATGATATTTATGATATATGGATCAAAAAATATATCTCGATATATTTTGCTATATCTTAATATACGATATATATGTCGATATATGTTCAAGAAAAAATAACCCCCTAAAACTGAAAACTGCAAAAACAAATCTGCCAATTCCACAAGGTCCTTTTTTTAAAATTAAAGTGTAAGAGGTCGGCAGTTCATATAGGAACATTTAAGAATACAAAAAAACTTAATTACATAAATAATAATTTAACTGTAAA